TCCAAAAGCGGCACCTAGTGGCAAAGAATGAATTCGCATTTTCATTCAGACCAATGCCAAAATCAAGTTTTCCCAGGTCTACGCATGCAACAAGTGGGCGGGCAATATGCTAATGTTTCATGTTGACGTCAACATGAAACGGCTTGGGATCAAGCGGCAAACTTCCGGTCTCTCTCCTGAAACCAACACGGAAGTGACTTAAACTGCAATTCATCGACTGGCTGGCTCCAAAAGGGAGTCAGTCCCATAGACTCCCCATGTTAAAATGCCCAACTTTACAGCAGAAAAAAATATGTTTACAGCCTGGTACAAAAAGTGGTTTTGGTCTATATAGCTAATTTTGCCCTTCATGACAACTGTGAGGGAGGTTAATTTTTTTATAACTCATCCGTTTAAAGCAGCACTATGTAACTTTTGGCGCTCTAGCGGTGTATAAACAGGACTGCACACATTCCGCGGAAGAACATTCCAAGCGGAGCTACTTCTCTAAGTTTATGTCTATGGCGATTCACGCAGGTATGTGTTACTCCGCAGCGGTGACGACCCGACCAGGCTACAATAGTCCAAATATAAGTGTACCGTAGTGATTCGGAATAAGACAAAAACGCGGTTTGGAAGATGAATTCATGATGTACTCGCTCATTATATAAATTTAATATTAAAATATTGTATTATGCTTGGCATCAGTCTTTGACATTAATTCAGGAGGAAGATGTACTGTTATATTATCCCTGTAATCGCCCTGCATTTCCTGCCTGTGCCTGTGCATGAGAGAACGGCATTGCTCAGACTAACATGCGCCCCCTGGTGTTTGCATGCAGTCACTGCATCCAGCAGATCCTGGAGGCGGTGCTTCATTGCCATCAAATGGGTGTGGTGCACCGAGATCTCAAGGTGAGTGGCAGGTGATTTGTTCGTCTGTGTGTGTTGTGCATGCTTTTATGTACAAATATGCCATGTGTGATGTGCGATGTGCAATTATGATGGGATTCGGATGGTGAGATGATTAATGGAATGGCTTAAAGGGATAGTCCAACCAAAAATGAAAATTCTGTCATCTACACACCCTCATGTCATTCAAAACCTGTATGGATTTCTTTCTTCTGCTGAACACAAGAAGAGATGTTTTGAAGAATGTTGGTAACCCACTCAGTTTCTGGTATCCATTGACTTCTATAGTAGTTTTTTTTTTCCATATAATGGAAGGCAATGGGGACCAACATCTGTTTGGTTATCTGCATTCTTCAAAACATCTTTTCTTAAAAAACTCATACAGGATGAACAACCTGAGGGTGAGTAAATTATGTCAGAATTTTTATTTTTGTGTGAACTGACCCTTTAATACTCGCGATCCGATTTGGCATGACGTTTTGCGTGCATGGATGTCTATGTCTGGCATAAAACTCTTAAATTGTGCAGTTATTTCAGATTTATTTTTATTGTTGATTTTATGTCAAGTGATATATTATGTTATTTGTTTGAAGTCTTCTCACACAGGTTGATTCTGAACTAGAATGGAATAACTCACCAATAAATTGTTACAATATAATGAGGAACATCATATAGGGTCAGTTTTGATTTCATGTTGCTGCTTTTTCTAATCCTGCTTCAGTTCAGAAGTCGCTTTTTATATTTTAAAGAATCAGGGTATGCAAATCTCAGTCTGGATGCGTTTCCAGCGTCGTTTCCCCCGGATGCGGCTCAAGGTCATTGAGCATTTCACACCATCCTACGGATTCTCAATCAGAACACTTTTCAAATCATGAGCCCGAAACGTCGAGATGCCATCTGAGCTCCACGAATAGCTCCAGCAGATGGCAACGGCGGCTGAGCGTCAGAACACAGACACCGTTCGTCTCTTTTCAGAGCGGCATCTGTAGCGCGAAGAGTACGACAGGAAGATAGAGATCAGAGATTGAGACTGAATAAGTTTCCCATGATTCTTTGCTCCTCTGGACCCAATTTCCCACCTGGCTCAACTTCCACCAGAGCAGAGGGACTTAATAACAGCACACACACACACTCACGCTGAACGTTACGTGGAGGTGTGAATGTGCGTGTTAAGTGGGATGATGTATTATTAACCCTTATGTCAAAATGAGTGACAGTAGGTTATGTGAAAAAATGAAATCAAAATTGACTCTGTGTGATTTCTTGATACCTTTGGTTAAATGTTCTGTTTAATTTTTTATGCAGGTTCAAAAGTTTGGGGTCTGTAAGATTTTTTAAATGTTTTTGTAAGAAGTCTCTTCTGCTCACCAAGGATGCATTTATTTAATCAAAAATTCAGTAATATTGTGAAATAGGATTACAATTTAAAATAAATGTTTTCTATGTGAATATAATTTAAAATGTGATTTATTCCTGTGATGCAAAGCTGAATTTTCAGCATCATTACTCCAATCTTCAGTGTCACATGATCCTTCAGAAATCATTCTAATATGCTGATTTGATGCTCGGTAAACATTTGTTGTTATTATTATCAGTGTTGAAAATGTTGTGCTGCGTCATATTTTTGTAGAAACAGTGATGCATTTTTTTCAGGATTCTTTGATGAATAAAAAGTTAAAAAGAACAGCATTTATTTAAAATAGAAATCTTTTCTAACAATATACACTACCGTTCAAAAATGGTACTTCTGCTATAATGACAAAGCTACTTGTTTCGAAGTACTGTAGCTTACTTACGTTTATTTACACATGTATTTATTTATTTTTGCAAAGTGTTATTTTATTAAAATTGGGAAATAAATAATAGAATTCCATAATTCTGAAAGTTTCAAGAGCGGAGTGCTGTTCACACTCTTAATGAGCGATTAATTTACATGACTTTTCCAGTCATTTGTGATCACAAGTTATGGTTAATTTTAATGTAATTTCTCATTAATTTTTACATGATAAATTATATTAGATGGCTATATTTAAATATTTATATTTTCATGATTTTATACATTTCCAAATCTTTTCCAAGTCTAGAAATGAAAACAACCATCATATATGGGAGCCCTGGTTCTTTAAAAATACAATAGAAATTGTAGTTGTTGGGAACAAATTAAATTAAGAATGTATATATTTTTAAAATTATTGTAAAGTGTGTTGAGGCCTTCTAGTAGGTCCTAACCAGCGTTATCATTAAATAAACTAAAAGTAAAACTATTATATCATTTTTGTTAATTAAAATAAAACTGAAATATAATAAAATATAAATATTAGATATAAAAAAAAAACATGTTTTCTAATTTTCATTTTGTTAAAGCACAAAAAATTACTAACTGGGAATAAATAACAACCAAAATTAAACTAAAACTAATGGCTGAAAAAAAAAAAACGTAATAGTAATATTAGTGGTAATAATAGTAATAATGGCATAAAAAATGTCAAATGCACATAACAATTACCAAATTTAACCAAAATTATAATGAAAAAAAAAGAATAAATAAATAATAATTAGTGCTGTCAAACGATTAATCACGATTAATCGCATCCAAAATAAACGTTTTTGTTTACGTAATATATGTATGTGTACTGTTTGTTTGTTATGTATATATAAATACACACACATTCAGTATATATTTTGAAAATATTTACATGTGTATATACATTTATATATTATTATTATTATTATAACATATTTTTCTTAAATATGTACATGCATGTGTTTGTATTTATATATACATAATAAACATACACCGTACACACTCAAATACTATGTAAACAAAAACTTTTATTTTGGATGCGATTAATCGCGATTAATCGGTTGACATCACTAATAATAATAAAAACTATAATAGTGTATAAATAATACTAAAATAACACTGGTCCCAGCTACCTGATTGAGAACCAATGGCTTAGCATCATTTGTCATCTGTATTTTGGTTGTTAGATGTTTTTCTTGACAATTGAATGCCTGCAATGCTAACCGTAGTTATTTTATTTCAGAGAATCAACCATTGGTCCATTTGGATGATCAAAAGTCGTAGATATCAAGCTCACATATGATTTTAAATGTACAGCAGTAGAACATCACAGGAAATGCGCTTCTAGCGAACTCTACCGGTGACAGAACACGGCGCCCAGCACAGCTTATATTCTGGGAGTTGATTCTGTTTGTATGCTGTATCTGTTGCGCAGCTGTGCTTGTATGTTATGTGTTCGATGTTAAAAGGTGACATGTATCAGATTTGGGTTCAGCAGTAATATGAGTGCGCCCCTGATCTCCCCCCCAGCCGGAGAACCTGCTCTTGGCCAGTAAATGCAAGAACGCCGCCGTCAAGCTGGCCGACTTTGGCCTGGCCATTGAAGTGCAAGGGGACCAGCAGGCCTGGTTTGGTACGTGGTCGGTTTGAACTCTCCCAAAGCAAAAATCCCCGACCGGTTTGCCTTATTTGTTTAATTTCGCAACTTCCAAGCACATAATCTGCCACCCAAATGGTTTTCTCCAACATACAATGTTGGAAAGAGCCTGGATGTTGCATTTTTCAGATGTGTATTTTCGCTTTCGCATGCAGGGTTCGCTGGAACGCCAGGTTATCTTTCCCCAGAAGTGCTACGGAAGGAGGCTTATGGGAAACCTGTGGACATTTGGGCATGTGGTGAGTCACACGCTCCCTCCTGATAGAGATCTTTGCATCTATTTCTAACTTCTTTCTCTCTCGACGCCCCGCACATATTCAGACACATCAGCTCTCAGATGTGGAGAGCTCTTCTCCGGCAGGTGTTGTCAAGAGGCTGTTGCCAAGCGCCGCTTTCACCGTCGTGTTTCACATTCACTTTTTCTAGAGCATCGATAGTTGAGCGGTTTAATTACTTTGCAGATCAGTAGGTGGGTTGGTGGTTTTTTTGGTCTGGGGTTGGGAATTCTGATTCATTTCGGCGAAGTGGTTTATTAGGATTGTTTGTATATCAGTGAACCAGTTCATGGATTCATAGGAGTCATTCTCAAAATCCAACACTCTAAAGAGAGAGAAATTAATTTAAACTGTTTATCACCAGGCCGCGTGATGTTTAGCAACAATTTTGAACCCACCTGGCAGGTTTAGTCTCCAAACAAATTTCTGCCTTACAGTCAAATGATTCACAAATGCTGAGTTATTACAAAGAACCAGTTCAAAAAAATAATTCATGCAATTCTCGTTTCTGAATGAATCGTTCATTTGAACCGGTTCATTATTTCTCAATAGAATTAAACAATTATAATTTTTTTTAAATATTATTTTCTATATTTTATATTTTAGTTTATTTAATATAATTTCCATATATAACTATATATACACTGCTGTTCAAAAGTTTGGTATCAGTAAGATTTTTAATGTTTTTATGTTTTTAATGTTTCTTATGCGCATCAAGGCTGCATTTATTTGATTCAAAATACAGAAAAAGCAGTAATATTGCAAAATATTATTACAATTTAAAATAATGGTTTTCTATTTTAATATAATTTTAAATGTAATTAATTTCTGTAATGCAAAGTGCTGAATTTTCAGCATTATTACTGCAGTCTTCAGTGTCACATGATCCTTCAGAAACCTTTCAGAAAAATTTTTTTTTATATATTATATTATATTTTTCTTTGTTAGCCTGTAATGCTTTTTTCTGGATTCTTTGATGAATAAAAAGTTAACAAGAACAGCAATTGTTTAAAATAGAAGTCTTTTCTAGCAATATAAGTCTTCACTATCACTTTTTATCAATTTAACACATCCTTGCTAAATAGAAGTATTGATTTCTTTCAAAAAAAGAAAGAAATAGAATTTACTGACCTCAAACTTTTGAACGGTTGTGTATTTTGTGTACAAGTTATTACAAAGTACCAGTTCAAAACAATGATTTATTCACAAATTAGACTTCAATACAAGTGCTTTAAGTGATTACATTTAAGCATTTTTTTTCTCTTAATTAAACATTACAATTTACATTTGTTAATATATTTCTATAATTTATATGTTATTTATTATAATATAGTTGTATTATTTTGGAAATTGGATAAGTTATATAAAGAAATAAACTTAGACATCATTACAATTGTAGCCGTTTTGATAATGTTTGGTGTTTAAATTAAGTTTATATTTTTTATAAAATATGTTTATATATGTATATGTTTCTTTATGGAATTGATATGTGTATTTATTATTACATTTAGGGTTGTTTTAGGTGTGCCTAAATGTCTGCGTTAGTACTTGAAGAGTTGTGAGAACACAAAGAATGGCATAGAATCTGTTAGAAGTGAAATATCTATACTGTGATTGCAGGAGTCATCCTGTATATTCTGCTGGTGGGATATCCTCCGTTTTGGGATGAAGACCAGCACAAACTCTACCAACAGATCAAAGCTGGGGCTTATGACGTGAGTCCCCTTGTGATTTCACTCATACAGTACAACTGGCTGAGTCAATACATACCCATGAGTTCCCATGTTTCCTGTAGTTCCCCTCGCCAGAGTGGGACACGGTCACCCCTGATGCCAAAAACCTCATCAATCAGATGTTGACCATCAATCCAGCCAAGAGAATCACGGCCCAGGAGGCTCTGAAACACCCGTGGGTCTGCGTGAGTATTAGCAGCCACCGACCAGCACAAAATACCAGAATACATACACTATTGTAAAAATGAAAGGATGTTTGTTACCCATATGTGACCCTGGACCACAAAACCAGTCATAAGGGTCAATTTTTCGAAAATTAAGATTTATTCTGAGATGATATATTTCATGCTAAAACAAAATATTCACAATATGAAATGTGGCAGGACTTCATTATTCCCTCCTTTCCTTTAATAAAAACCTCTGTTTCCCGCAGCAACGTTCCACTGTGGCGTCCATGATGCACAGACAGGAAACAGTCGAGTGCCTGAAGAAGTTCAACGCAAGAAGGAAACTCAAGGTCTGCTGATGTCTCTTTTAAAAGTCATTATACCTGCAACTGGAGTCATTTCATCTGTATATGTATCTGTCTGAAACCCACCGCTCGATGCCTCTGTTCACGTTCCGATCTTTTTCTTACATATAGGGTGCGATATTGACCACCATGCTGGTGTCGCGCAATTTCTCTGGTAAGTTCACATCAAGCCTGATGCAAAGATATTGTGTCCTGAAAGACAAATTGAAGACATGTATAATCATTCGACTATTTGAACTATTTAAGTAGAGGAATCAAAACCACAAATCATTACATGAATCAGACTTCTAAATTTATTCTAAAAGCATCAACACAAACTCTTAACAGTGATATTTTAGTATTATTTATGTACTATTTTAGTATTCATATTTTGAATTAGCATTTATTTTTATATTTTCAGTTTTAATTTTTATTTTGTTTATACTTTAGTAATTTTGTGTTTTTGCCATTTTTATTCATTTTTTGTATTTCTATTTAGCTTTAAATTTTTTTTATTTCAGTTGTTGTGTTAGAAATGTTTAGTTTTGAACTTTTTTTTTATTTTAGTTATTTGCCAAGGCATTTATAATTTTCATTTTATGTTTAAAGGGTTAGTTCACCCAAAAATGAAAATTCTGTCATTAATTACTCACCCTCATGTCGTTCTAAACCCGTAAGACCTCCGTTCATCTTCGGAACACAAATTAAGATATTTTTGATGAATTCTGAGAGCTCTCTGACCGGCCCATAGACAGCAATGTAATTACCACGATCAAGGTCCAGAGACGTAGCAAGGAGATCGGTAAAATAATCCATGTGACATCAGGGGTTCAACCGTAATTTTACGAAGCTTCGAGAATACTTTTTGTGCGCAAAAGAAAACAAAAATAACGACTTTATTCAACAATTCGTCTCCTCCACGTCACCCTGGTGCCATTTTGGAGAATATCCGCGCGGATATGTTTTCTACGTTGTTTATGTTTTGATTTGAACGAAAACATCGTATCCGCGTGACGCAGCTGACACAGAATAGCATACACTGTTTACGTTCAGTGGATATTCTCCAAAATGGCACCAGGGTGACGTAATTAATGACAGAATTTTCATTTTTGGGTGAACTTACCCTTTAAGACTTTTTGTCTAATATATATATTTTTTAATTTCAGCTTTATTTCCTTTTTTAAAAAATAGTTTTATTTAACAACACTGACTCAAAGTTCACCCAAAAATGAAAAAATTTTGATCATTTGCTCACCATCATATCCTACCAAACCAATATGGTTCTTTTAGTCCATACAACTTTTGAAGCCAAACGATAGCTTTGTGTGAGTGTAAAAGCTTTTTTCCTAACACGAGCTGTCATATGGATTCAAAAGACTTGGAATATACTGCACAAGTCAAATGAACGGCTGTTATGGTGCTTTTATTGTATTGTTATTGGACAGATGGTCACCATTCACTTTTGTAAAAAAGAACAGCATCAACATTCTGCCTGACATCCTTTGTGTTTGATGGTGGGAAAGAAAACCATACGGTTTGGAACAACATGAGACTGAGCAATGATGACGGGTTGTTTTTGGGTGAACTGTCTCTTTAAATGATCTCAAAGCTAAATATTCATACTATTAATAAATCCTGCTTTATGCTTTGAAGCATCGGACAAGAAATCCCACAGCTAAGGGAACGATACACTGTTTCTTATCCAACTATTCAATTTCACGAGCAGCTGGACGTTCAGAGTCGGGCCGTGTCCTGACAGATTGGTTCAGAGACGAGTGGTTCTGTAGGAAGTGCGTGGCGTTTGTGAGCAGCGGGCTGCGTACGGCGAAAGAGAATTCTGGATGTTTGCGGCTGTGTGTGAGAACTGGCGTTTATAATAACATGTGATTGATTTCTGCTGTAATGAAGCATCTGCTCTCTCACATCCCGACACACTCACACACGCTCTCACTCGCTCGCACTTCAACAGCAGGCTGGTGGGCGGAAGCAACAGTGTTCCTGTTTGAGGAGCGTTTTAGATGCTCTCTCTCTCTCTTTTTCTTGCTCTCTTCATCCGTGGCTCGTCAGCCGTCCTCTCTGTGCTCTCATTACTGTAATTACCTCGTCCCGTGGGGTGACTCAGTGGTAGAGGAGGCGTGGGAGTGTCCGAGCGTCACTCCACGCACTTGCCCTCGTATGTCATTCCCTTATTATTTATTCGGCCTCTGTTCACTCTCTTTTTTTTTAAAAAAAAAGGGATGTATTATTTTTATATTATTTTTTCCTTTTGAAGTTCTATGATAACTTAATTAAGATTTCTTGACTATTTAATACCCTCTTCAACAATGACCCATCCAAGTTAAAGAATAGACATTGACATAATTTTTTAGCATAAAAATGTATTAATTTTATTTATATGTACTTATTTAGTTAATTTTATAAGTGCCCTTTATGGGGTGTTTGGATAGAGAGAAAAAAATGAATTATCCAAAAAAGGACACACTGCAGCTATTTGCCTTGGCTATTTCATGATAGAAAATATTGAGTAGAGAAATTGATTATGATTAACAAAATATATATGTGGATTGCCTTTTTAAATTGAAATATTTTTTAGATATTTGTTTATATCCTTTTATATTTTTATATTATTATTTTTATATTTGTATTTTATTATATTATAAAAT